GAGATTTGGGGGGATTTGGGGGGGTTTGAGGAGGATTTGGGGGGATTTGGGTTGGGATTTTGGGGTTCTTAGAGTGGAATTTCGGGAAGGGATTTGGGGTTCCCAAAGTGGAATTTTGGGGTTGGGATTTTGGGTTCCTGGGGGGGATTTTTGGGGTTCCTAAAGCGGAATTTTAGGTTCGGGATTTGGGGTTCCCGAGCGGGATTTTGGGTTCCCAAAATGGAATTTTCGGGAAGGGATTTGGGGTTCCCAGAGTGGAATTTGGGATTTCGATTGGAATTTTACCGACATCCCGAGACCCGGCTGACAATTTCGGGATTCCCCCGAATCCCCGGGATCTTAATTTTGGTTTTTAATTTTATTTTTAAATTTTCCCAGCACGCCGCTGGTGCCCGTGTTCAGTTTTGGGGAGAACGAGGGGAATTTTGGGGTCCCAAAAGGGGAATTTTGGGGCTCCCAAAGTGGAATTTTGGGGTTGGGATTTTGGGGTTCCTGAGAGAGATTTTGGGGTTCTTTGAGTGGAATTTTTGGGGTTGGGATTTTGGGGTTCCCGAGCGGGATTTTGGGGTGTCAAAGAGGAATTTTGGGGTTCCTAAAGGGGAACTTTGGGATTGGGATTTGGGGTTCCTATGAGGGATTTTTGGGGTTCCTAAAGCGGAATTTTAGGTTCGGGATTTGGGGTTCCCAGAGTGGAATTGGGATTTCCATTGGAATTTTACCGACATCCCGAGACCCGGCTGACAATTTCGGGATTCCCCCGAATCCCCGGGATCTTAATTTTGGTTTTTTAAATTTTATTTTTAAATTTTCCCAGCACGCCGCTGGTGCCCGTGTTCAGTTTTGGGGAGAACGAGGGGAATTTTGGGGTCCCAAAGAGGAATTTTGGGGTCCCAAATTGGAAATTTTGGGGTTGGGATTTGGGGTTCCTTGGGGGGATTTTTGGGGTTCCCAAAGTGGAATTTTGGGGTTGGGATTTGGGGTTCCTGGGGAGGATTTTTGGGTTCCTAAAGCGGAATTTCAGGTTTGGAATTTGGGGTTCCCAGAGTGGAATTTTGGATTTCCATTGGAATTTTACCGACATCCCAACACCTGGCTGACAATTTCGGGGTCCCATTTTTTTTTAAATTTTATTTTTAAATTTTCCCAGCACGCCCCTGGTGCCCGTGTTCAGTTTTGGGGAGAACGAGGGGAATTTTGGGGTCCCATTTTTTATTTAAATTTTATTTTTAAATTTTCCCAGCACGCC